AGGGTGAGATTTTAGCTCTGAGCTCTGACCTCTCGGCTTTCTCTTTTACATTGTTTCTGTGTTTCTTATTTAATAAGACGGTTGGTTACATCTACAGGAGATAAAAATCTTAATTTGCATAAGAATCTAAGCTTGGTACCTATCACCTGCCTGGCCTTGTAGAAAATCTTAAGCCTGTGGAAAATAACTACCTTAACTCAGTAACTAGCAAGTGGCTAAAACATCATCCCAGGAATGTGAGCAGTAAATCTCTTAAGCTAGGGTCTTGTGTAAATAACTCAGGGTGAAGGTAAGGAGTTGAGGATTTAATTGCTAGTGGTGGTTTTCTCTATCTGTGAGTGAGATGAGCTAATGTTTATTTCTCTGCATTTGTCTTTACCAAAAAAACAAACCAACCAAACCAAACCAACCAACCAACCAAACAAACAAACAAAAACCCATACCTTAGCTGAAATACTTTTGTCCTGAGAATGACTCTGGCCAAATTTATGTTAATGAAAAAATAAACACAGCTGGGGACAGTTGTCCAATTACCCCAAATGTATAGGTAAGGTTGTGCCCAAGATTGAGATGCAATCATGAGATTACATGTACACATAAAATGGAAATGCAAGGTAAATGCAGAGAATTATAGCTGTTATTGCCCAAGAAGTTTACAACAGGAAACAGCCAATTAATTCAAAAGGCAGTAATTCCATAGTGCCTTGAGTGATAGTATCCTCTAACAGAACCCTTAGTTCTGATAGGTTAAACTTCTGAACTCTAGTTGTCGTCACTGGCTGTGTACTTCCATGGTCTTTTGGTACCAGCAGCTCTAAATAGGGTGGTCTAGGAAAGATAACAGAGACTAAATGTTTCCAGATTAGATTCTACTCCCAAAAGGACCGGTTTTCCTTTTCATCACTGATCCTTTATAAACTGCAACAATGCTGAGGGAACCAGATAATTACACCTGGACATGGCTTGTAGGCCATCCAGCTCAGGCCAGGGGAGGAGCAGAAGCACTTCCCAGACACCTGTGTTGAGCCTGATGTATAAGGATAGCCCCAGATTCTTAGAGGTATTTCAATTGAGTTATAACTCCTAATGCAGACAGAAACTGGCGCTTCTCATCCATGCTTCTTAATGATTTAAAAATTATTTACAATTATGTATATTATAGTTGGTGTGGGTGTGGGATATAGGTGACCTGAGGTCAGGTGTCTGATGGGATCAGAGGTGTCAGATGCCCCTTCACCTGGAGTTTTAGGAAGTTGTGAGACACCTGTTACAGATGCTGAGAAATGACCTTTGATCTTCTGAAAGAGCAGAATGTGCTGTTAACCTCTGAACTAAGTCCCCAGTCACTCTTAACTCATGCTGAGCAGAAGCCACACCCCAGTGTAGCTGAAGTTTTCCTGTGCTTGCCAGGCACCAAGGTCACACAACCACTTATAAAATTCCTGTGTCCTGACTGGTCCTGTAACTCTCAGACCCAAGTGAACACACAGAGGCTTCTATTAATTAAAATTGCTTGGCCATTAGCTCAGGCCTACCATTGACTAACTCCTACACTTAAACTCAGCCCATTTCTGTTAATCTATAAATCACCACGTTTTTCATGGCTTTACCTATACGCCATTACGTGATGCTCCCTGGACGGTGGGCTGGCATCTCTATACTTCCTGTCTGGCTACTGACCAATCAGCCTTTTATTAAGCCAGTGTACAAAAGCATTATCCCACAGCACCCCAGAGGTCCTGATTGTGCTCCTGGAGGTGGAGATCCAGTCCTGCAGGATGTTGTGTTGTCTTAAATGGGGAGTTCCAGAGCCCTTCCTGCTCTTCCTGAAATCTGTTCCAGTAAATGCAGCTCCAGCAGGCCTGCTCTGTGGGACATGCTCAGGTGTTTTTGTTTTCTTGGACAGACTGATGGTCACAAAATGCACCCAGAAAATATTCTTATGTCCTCTGCCTTGTTTGGAGGTACAGTGATGGCATGGGAAGAGGGCTTATTGAGGAGCAACTTTTCCCCCAACCTGTCGGGATCCTGGTGGTTTGGTGTCCATGGGACGTTCTAGAGGCTGCAGGGATGGCTCTGCTAGTCAGAATAGTCAATAGGATGCACAAATGGGAAGAATTCTTCAGCAAGAGAATGCTAAGAATCGTTTATTTTGGACACAGACACTAGGAAGCAGTCACCACAACATGGATCTTCATTTTCAAAGGATGTAGTTCTAGGGCTGGGGAGTCAGCAAGCATGGGCTGGATTCGGAAGAAATCCTCTGGGACAGGTCATCAGTCACGCTTACAAGTACTGAATCCATTTTTCACAGGACTGTCAGCCGTCTACAATACAAATTTGATCATGATTTTCATCTGCTTAGAAACCTCCAGCTTTTCAGCCCTCACTGGGTGTCTGGCAGTTCATTGCTGTTTGATTGTGGCCTTGTTGTAGTGTTCTATCTCCCCCTGACCCCTGCCGCAACTGATACCACAGCTATCCAGGGCAATCATTTCCCCATTTCCTAAGGAGGGCAGTCATATCTCCCACCATCTGAACTGGCCTTCCTGTCTGGTGGGCTTTGTGTATCCTACCTTAAGCTTTCTCCTCATTGGTCTCCACTCTGACATGTCTCCGCCTCCCCCCAGGCAATGCGAATCACCATTGTTAGAACTTAGTAGAAGCTGGTGCAGAGCTCATGCTGACACAGGCCTGCTTCTCTGGTCCAGCTATGTTTTCCTTTAATCTCCATTCTACCACCTGCCTGCCCAATGTATGAAGTATTCAAATGAATGAATGCTCCCACTCACTTCTTTATCTCTCTCCCTCCCCGGAACACCTGCTCTCCTGAGAGAGTCAGACCTCTGAGGCTGGGGAGGGGAAGAAGAGTGAGATATCCCAGTTTATGACCATGTGGACCTCAGTCATGGTGACTTGTGTCACTTTAGTCTCAGTGGGACTGCTTTGCAGAGGAGAGGGCCACAGATCCTGTAACCCAGTGTCCTGCTGCCCTGTACTTCCAGTTCTTTCTCCTGGATACATCCAGACTCTTGTGTGCAGTCAGTGGACAAAGCCACATGGGACTGTCCCAGCAAAGTCTCCTGGAAACTCACTCACTCCCTTGGACATACCTTGAAAGGATGTGGTGGTTTGAATGATAATGGCCCCCACAGTCTTATATATTTGAATTTGGTCCCTAGCTGTTGGAGCATTTGGGGAAGGATCAGGAAGTGTGGCATTGTAAGAGGAGATCTATCACTGGGGACAGGCTAACTAGTTTCAAAGGCCCACACTATTCCCAAATAGGCTGTTCTCTGCTTCATGATCATGTGTCAAGATGGGGGCCTTCAGCTACTGCTCCAGTGTCTTGTCAGTCAGCCTGCTGCCAAGCTCCCTACTATGAATGTCATGGACTGACTGTCTGCAACTGCAAGCCCCCAATAAACTCTTTCTTCTATAAGTTGCCTTGATGAAGCTGTCACGACAATAGGAAAGTAAGACAGTGGACTATACTCACTTTAAAGACAGGCCTCGTGCAGACATGACCACACCCTTTCCTGCAGCACTTCATTTTATCAGGGCATGAGTCATCTCCTGAGCATCTCTCATTGCAAGTTCCAACATCATGTAGGGGTGCCTTGGGACAAGCTCCAGGTTTTTGTAATTCTGAAAAAAAAAATGTTGTTTATCGAGCCTGAAGCAGTCAGAAAGACTAGGTTGAGAATTGATGCTAGAGGTCTGGAAGCCTGGTCACCTGCAGGAAACTAGCTTATTCTGTATCCCCCTTTGCATCCGGGGCTCTTCCCTCAGCTTCACCAGCTCCAGTCTCTCTCTTAGGCCTGAATGTTCCCAGGCCATTGGGGGAGTGTGCTCCCTCCCAAAGCCTGTAAGTCTCATTAGAAAGAACCATCCACTGTCACAGTCTCTTCTTTAAATCAGATAAGACGTTATAAACCTCTAATAACAGCCAGACCTCTCTCATCCCACCATACCCCAGGTTCATCTCTAAGCAGCAGCTCCACTGAACCCCACATTCTAGGCACATCTCCAAACCAGATGAGCAGTCCTGATCTTTCCAGGCTTCTGTGAAAAGCAACACACACACTCTCTCTTAGGTAAGATAAGAAATGCAGGGATCACTGTTACAGACCAAAGGAAGTGATTTCAATCTAAGCAGTGGACACAGGGCTTTCCTGTGTTGTTTATGAGCCTCAGGTCCTAGTGTGCTATGATCCCTCTCTGTTTTCTGCTTGGATCCCCTTAATACACTTACCTCCGTGAGAAGACAGAGCACAGGCCTTGTCCATCTCCATGGCAATCAAAGTCACCAGAACCAAGACTGTGGCTGTCTTCATGTTGGCTCTGGCTGGGCTGAATGCACAAATCAATTTATATCCTCCATAATGCTAAACTCATGGGTGTCAGTGGAGATAGTTAATGGGAAGTCTATAATAACAAGCACATTCCAGAAGCTGCCTGCCAATAGCCTGGCTTCGTTTACTATGACATAGCTGGTTTCTCTCCAACTTTTCTTTGGCAGATGCAAATGATAACCAGAAAAAGTCAAAAACACATTTACTACTGTGTTCCTCCATACCGCACAGCTTAACCCTTTATGATTGGTGAGAAAAGGATGTAATTATTTCTGTGTAGCTCAGCAGCTCAGAGTGAGAGCTGATGCTGAGACAGTCACTGTGGAGTGTCTGGGCCATCTGGGGCTTCCTGGACATTCAGTTATGTAAGGATGTGGCCTGCTTCTGGGACAAATAGTGGCTCTGTCCTTTGTAGCTCTAAGGATGAGATTCCCTAAACAAGTGTGGAATCTGGACCCCTCTTCTCTGCAGAAGTAGACAATGAAATCTCTCCTGGAGGAGATGGATACTCAAAGATTTCAAAGTGGTCAGGTCTAGATGAAGGTAAAGAGACAAGCTCCACTATGATGGTCATTTTTGACCAAAACTTTCTGTAAGAAGATTGTATAGAGGAGCAGAGAAGGGGTAAGAGTCATAGGAGAAAGTGCAGTATTCTAGTCTTTGAGTAGAGGGCCTGCCTCTTTTGCTGTCCCAATTAGAGACTCTCAGAGAAAGAGCTGTAGTGGTAAAACACCAGCAGCTGTGGGAATGTCATCCTGTGACTGGCTTTAAAGTCATCTCATGTTTATAGAACTACCTCTGGGGGATTGAGGAGGGTTTGTTTAGTCACATACTTTGCTCCATGTGTTTCCAGTCCTTCCTTCAGATTGAGGAGACACGCCTTTGACCTGTAACTCTCCCCGCTCTCTTGTACGCATGCTGTGTCAGAAACATAGACACATTTATTTGTGTTTGTTTATAATGTCATCATTCATGGAATAATCACAAATTAACATGATACAGCAATGGATTTTTTTTTGTTGTTGTATTTTGCTTGTTTCTTTAGTTTGGTTTCTTGTTTTTGATTTTTCTTTATGTGACAGGATTTATCTCTCTAACACTGGCTGTCATGGAACTTGCTCTGCAGATCAGACTGGCCACATAGTCAGTGATACACCATTCTCAGTGCTGGGATTAAAGGCATGTGCCACCAGCACTTCGCTTAAGACACACCAGTTTTAATGGAAGCAAGTGGCCAGGCAGTTTTGCTTCACATGCTAACCCTGGCCAAGGCAAAGACAAGTTTTTTCCCAACCTTAAATAATGATATTAATTCTAATATCACTTATCAAACAATACACAGTAAACCTATCTCTTTATCTCTATACACATACATACTTATATACGTGTGTTACAGAAATGGCTGTAAGAGTTAATAGGCCATAGCAGAGTTCAAGAGGTTTCAGAAGTCCTGAGGAGCAGAGAAACAGAGGACTGTAAGGAGAATCTAGATTGATAAGATAATGAACCCTGGTGTGGGGAGAAGTTGCAGAAACTATGGGGACTGTAAGTCAGGACACTTCCGGTCACCTGCTTGAAAGCAAAGCGGTGGCATTTAGTTTGGCTGCAGAAGCCATAGCAGGACCAGGCTTAGATGCAGGAACTGAAGGACAGATGGACGGCAGGTCCAGTTAGGTGAACATGAGGAT